GCACCTCAAGGGTCAACAGCTCCAAATCCTCCAGCTCCAACTCCTCTCGCGCTAGTGCCTCCAGCACCAGCGCCAATAGCTCCATCTCCTCCAGCTCTTGCCGCTCGAACACAACCAGTCCCGGCAGCTCCACTACCCCTGGTACGAACACCTCCAGGACGAGCAGCCGCAATACCTCCAGTACCACCATCTCCAGCAGTAACTCCAGCACCTCCAGCTCCAGTAGCTCCACTCCGAAGGCGTGCGCGCCGAACAAGCCACTCACGCAGCTGCTGCGGGGAGAGAGTCTCCGGCTGTGGAGACAGGCTCGGCGAAGCACCAGCAGGACCTCCAGACGAAGCAACACCCCGAGGCTCAGCACCCGCAGACTCCGCACCCTTCGACTCAGTACCCCCAGGCTCAACACCGCCAGGCTGAGCACCCCCAGACTCCGCACCCTCAGACTCAGCACCCCCAGGCTCCACACCCCCAGACGCAGCACCTCGAGCAGCACCTGAGCGGACAGCTACCTCAACAGGCGCAGTACCAGGGAGAGGGTCTACCTGAGACACACCTGAGGGAGCAGGACCATGGGGCGGGAGGGGGTCTACCGGAGGGGGACCGGGAGCAAGGAAGAGTGGCGGGGGTGGGGGAGGGGCAGAACGGTAGGGGAAGAGACGGTAAAAGGGAACCGACTCGTCAAACGTGACGTCCTGAGAGGGGAAGACACGACGCGAGGTGGGGTGGTAAAACTGCTAGCCAGGCCCGTCAGAGGAAAAGCCAAGGAAGACGCAGGGAATAGCGCGGGCGGAGAGCTTCTCCGCGCATATATCGCGAACAAAAGCACGAGAACCCCAGACTCAGAACACCGACGCATCGCCAACCTTCCCCGTCAAACGCAGTGTAGGCGAGGTCTCCGGCAAGGAGACACGGGGCCAGAGGTTGAGGTGATGCGCAGTGTACCGGACCGCAAACGGCCACAGAAAATGGGGAGCAGCCGCATGGTTCATGGAGGTACGAGCGACCTCCATGACTAAGCCAATGTGGCGCTCAACAATCCCATTTTGCTGAGGGTAGTCCGGAAGCATGAACGACTGGAGAATGCCCTCCCCACGACAAAATTCCCGCAAGAGGTCAGAGGAAAACTCACCACCTCTGTCAGAGTGCAGACGTAGGACGGGAAGGTCCTGGCGGAACCGCTTGCGGAGCTGGAGACGGACCGCGCGGATCCAATGGATCAAGACATCAACGACCTGACCCTTGCTGCGCAAGGGGAAGACCGTGGTGTACCGCGTGTAGTCGTCACCAACCAGCAAAAAGTAGCGCTCACGGCCCGGTCCACTGACGCGGGCGTGGCCCCACACGTCCATGTGGAGAGTCTGCAGGGGAGCAGTAGTCGGGGGAAACGAGGAGGAGTGAGGAGCGGCGCACTGCCGCCCCTCGACGCAAGGAAGGCAGGGTGGGGCAGGCGAGGGCGATAGGGGAGGCAGAGACCTGGGAAGACCAGAGACAAGGAGACGGGAGTGCATGCCACGAAGGTGTGGCATGGAGGGGTGACCCAGGCGGTGGTGCCACAGAAGAGTCTGGTGCGACAGGAGGCAACACGAGCAAGGGGGTGCTACCTGACCTGACGCGGACACCTGAGCAGATGCAGCTCACTGAGGAGGCTCGGTACTCAGTGTGTACAGACTCGACCCTGGCCGACGAGTGAACGTGGCCAGGTGACGACCCGTCCGTGTACACGTGCAGATCGACACACGCTGACCTCCAGGAGTGGTGGTAGTGACCATCGCGTCCTGGAGAGCAGCGGTACTCACCAAGTTTGTCGAGAGAGGGAGAGGAGAGAGGGTGAGGAGAGGTGCAGGGAGAGAAGAGAGGGTGGCGCTGTCACGAAAGAAACAGCGTGAGGCACCTGAGTCCAACGTGAAGGTGTGCAAGGCCTCAGCAGGCGCACTACCAGGGAGAGAAGACTCACTAGCACCTAGAGCAGCAGCCTCTATACTTGGGTCAGGCGGTACACACAGGCAACAGTCACCCTCAGCACTAGCAGACAAAGCATGCATGGCAGAAAGAATAGCATCATAGTCTAGGTCAAAGATCGCAACTCCCGACCTAAGCAGCTCTGCCCAGTGGGGGCGCTCAACCTCGTCACCAAACTCAGCGCACCAAGCGTTGTCGAGGCGGAAGATGCAGCGGTGCTGAGTGTGAGGCTTCCCGCATGTCTGACCAGCACGGTCACCCGTACGAATGACATACGGGCAGCTCACACTACCCCCAGACGCCCCACGCTGAAACAACCACTCACAAAGCTGCTGGGGTGACAGGGTCTCGCTCCGACGCTCCTGTCGCTGCCTCTGGCCTCCTCCAGAACCTCCACGCTGAGCTCCAATCCTACCTCCACCGCCCCCACCGCTGCCACTACCGCCACCCGCACTGCTGCCTCCACCACCGCCACCAGAGCCCCCACTCCCGCCACCACTCCCACCGCTGCCACCGCCTCTACTGCCTCCACCACCTCCATTGCTGCCCCCACCACCACCCCCGCTGCCACCACGACCACCCCTGCCACCCTTGCCCTTGCTGCTGCGGCGCTTCCCACTAGTGGAAGCAGCTCCGACATCCTCAGTACCAAGGACGTCAACAGCAGCTGCAGAGGCGTAGGAGGGGGCAAGGGGGGAGGGGGGACACCCCTCAAAGAAGGGCGTGCGACGAGTGCCACGAGCAGCACCTAGAGCGACTACACTAGTCTCAGCTGCAAGGAGGTGCGGCTCGAGTAGGTCAACAGTGAGGTCTGTGGGGTCGAGCTCGAGAAAGTGAGTGTCGAGAGAGTTGAGTGTCGAGAGAGCTTGTGCAAGGGAGAATCGAGAAAGAGATGGTTTCACTATAGGAAGCTGGGATACAAATAGCAAACCCTAAATTGGGTTGTACTCACTACAGAGTACCCCACTGCAGGCTAAACAGCAAATACATTCTGACACACCCCCATAGTCAAAGTGGGGTATAATCAGCAGAGCAAGCAGTCATAGAGCAGGTTCACAAGTACAAGCAAAGCTAGAGGCATTCACAAAGGGCAAGTGAGGAGGAGGAGGCTGGACTGTGAGAGGAGAGGAGATAGGAGGCGACGCCTGATGCTGCAGACACACGGGCAACAGGAGCGGCGCGCACTGTGGCTACCGGGGCCGTATCCCCGGACTACAGGAGTAACTGGCTCTGCGGCTAACTCTGAGCGGCAGGAGCAACGGACCCACAGGCGACAGGCGCAGCAGGCTCTCTGAGCTACCAGAAGTAGAGCCCCGGACTACAGGTGCTGCGGACGACAAGACGGCAGCCTCCGCTCAACCTCCCCCAACTGTCCCACCCCCCTTTCACACACCCCTTGCTGCACCCCTAGCTCCACTCCCACGTCACCCCCCTAGCACCACTCCCTCGGTCAGAATGTATTTGCTGTCTAGCCTGCAGTGGGGTACTCTGTAATGAGTACAACCCAATTTAGGGTGTTGTATTTGTATCCCAACTTCCTATAGTGAAACCATCTCTTTCTCGATTCTCCCTTGCACAATCTCTCTCGACACTCAACTCTCTCGACACTCACTAGCCATGGCTCCTAAGTCTAGCTACTATTCCAGCATGGTATTAAGAGCAATAAGTTCTAGGACCTAACATCAATGGGCCCACCACCTAATGCCCTGCTAGCCTAGGCCCCGGCCCGTCGCCACTTGGCGTAGCCCCTAGCCCCTAGGCTCGGCCCCTTGGCCCCGTCGCCCCTAGCTGTGACACTCGGCCCCGTTGGCCCCGTCGCCCCTAGCCGCGCCCCTCGGCCCCGCTGGCCCCGTCGACTCCGTCGCCCCGCACTCGGCCCGTACTTAGCCCGCGATCGGCCCGTACCTAGCCCGCGCTCGGCCCCGTTCCTAGCCCCGCGCTCGGCCCGTACCTCGCCCGCGCTTGGCCCCGTACCTAGCCCGCGATCGGCCCGTACCTAGCCTCGCGCCCGGCCCCGTACCTAGCCCGCGCCTGGCCCCGTACCTAGCCCGCGATCGGCCCGTACCTAGCCTCGCGCCCGGCCCCGTACCTAGCCCGCGCCTGGCCCCGTACCTAGCCCGCGATCGGCCCGTACCTAGCCTCGCGCCCGGCCTCCGTTCCGCGCCCAACGCCCGGCCCGTACCTAGCCTCGCGACCGGCCCGTACCCTGCCCGCGCTCGGCCCCGTTCCTAGCCCCGCGCCCGGCCCGTACCTAGCCTCGCGACCGGCCCGTACCCTGCCCGCGCCCGGCCCCGTCTCTCGCCCGCGCTCGGCCCGTACCTAGCCCCGCGCCCGGCCCGTACCTAGCCCAGCGCACGGCCCCGACCCTAGCCAGCGCTCGGCCCCGTACCTAGCCAGCGCCTGACCCTGTACCTCGCCCGCGCCCGGCCACATACCCTGCCCGCGCCCAGCCCCGTCTCTCGCCCGCGCTCGGCCCGTACCTAGCCCCGCGCCCGGCCAGTACCTAGCCCAGCGCACGGCCCCGACCCTAGCCAGCGCCCGGCCCCGTACCTAGCCCTCACCCGGCCCCGTACCTGCCCAGCGCCCGGCCCCGTACCTGCCCAGCACCCGGCCCCGTCCCTAGCCCAGCGCCCGGCCCCGTACCTAGCCGCGCCCCTCGGCCCCACTGGCCTCGTCACCCCTAGCTATGGCAAGAGGGGTGATGACTTCCTGCCCGCGTGCCCTGCAGTCGCACGCGCAGCTCCGCCCCCGCCCCCCTCCCCCCCCTCCCCCTCCTCCATGGGGACGGGGGGGAGAGGGTGTGAGGGGGTGGCGGATGTGCCTCAGCAGCAGCAGCTGCCGCCGCGCCTCCTCCTCTATCTCTCCCTGCCGCACCTTGTGTTGGGAGAGGGGGGGGAGCTTGGAGGTTCAGAGGGAGGCAGGAGGGGATCTGCAGCACCAGCCCCCCCCGCCCCCCCCCCTTTCTCCTCCACCCCTGCTGCGGGTGCAGCAGTGGGGGGGAGGGGATCTGCAGCAGCAGTGGGGGGAGGGGATTTGCAGCATCACCCCCCCCCCCCCCCCCCCGCCCTTTTCTCCTCACTCTCTCCCTGCCGCACCCTGTGTTGGGAAGGGGGGGGAGCTTGGAGGTTCAGGGGGAGGCAGGAGGGGATCTGCAGCACCAGCCCCCCCCGCCCCCCCCCCCCCTTTCTCCTCCACCCCTGCTGCGGGTGCAGCAGTGGGGGGGAGGGGATCTGCAGCAGCAGTGGGGGGGAGGGGAGTTGCAGCATCAGCCCCCCCCCCCCCCCCCCCACTTCTCCTCCATCCCCCTGCTGCGGGTGCAGCGGTGGGGGGGAGGGGATCTGCAGCCCTGTGCTGCCCTGCAGCCCTGCGCGCCCTGCTGTCCTGCTGCCCTGCGCGCACTGCAGCCCTGCGCGCCCCGCGCGCCCTGCTGCCCTGCAGCCCTGTGCGCCCTGCTGCCCTGTTTGCCCCTCGCGCCCTGCTGTCCTGCTGCCCTGCGCGCCCTGCGCGCACTGCAGCCCTGCGCGCCCCGCGCGCCCTGCTGCCCTGCAGCCCTGCGCGCCCTGCGCGCCCTGCTGTCCTGCTGCCCTGTGCGCCCTGCACGCACTGCAGCCCTGCGCGCCCCGCGCGCCCTGCTGCCCTGCAGCCCTGTGCGCCCTGCTGCCCTGCAGCCCTGTGCGCCCTGCTGCCCTGTTTGCCCCTCGCGCCCTGCTGTCCTGCTGCCCTGCGCGCCATGCGCGCCCTGCAGCCCTGCGCGCCCCGCGCGCCCTACTGCCCTGCAGCCCTGTGCGCCCTGCTGCCCTGCAGCCCTGTGCGCCCTGCTGCCCTGCTGCTGCCGCTACAGCCCTTGCTGTTGCCGCTACAGCCCTTGCTGCTGCCCTGCGCGCCCCGCGCGCCCTGCAGCCCTGCTGCGCCCTGCGCGCCCTGCTGCCCTGTGCGCCCCGCGCGCCCTGCAGCCCTGCGCGCCCTGCGCGCCCTGCTGTCCTGCTGCCCTGCGCGCCCTGCGCGCACTGCAGCCCTGCGCGCCCCGCGCGCCCTGCTGCCCTGCAGCCCTGTGCGCCCTGCTGCCTTGCAGCCCTGTGCGCCCTGCTGCCCTGTTTGCCCCGCGCGCCCTGCTGCCCTGTTTGCCCCGCGCGCCCTGCTGCCCTGCAGCCCTGTGCGCCCTGCTGCCCTGCTGCCCTGTGTGCCCCGCGCGCCCTGCAGCCCTGCGCGCCCCGCGCGCCCTGCTGCCCTGCAGCCCTGTGCGCCCTGCTGCCCTGCAGCCCTGTGCGCCTTGCTGCCCTGCTGCTGCCGCTACAGCCCTTGCTGTTGCCGCTACAGCCCTTGCTGTTGCCCTGCGCGCCCCGCGCGCCCTGCAGCTCCGCTGCGCCCCGTGCGCCCTGCAGCCCTGCGCGCCCTGTGCGCCCTGTTGTCCTGCTGCCCTGCGCGCCCTGCGCGCACTGCAGCCCTGCGCGCCCCGCGCGCCCTGCTGCCCTGCAGCCCTGTGCGCCCTGCTGCCCTGCAGCCCTGTGCGCCCTGCTGCCCTGTTTGCCCCACGCGCCCTGCTGCCCTGCAGCCCTGTGCGCCCTGCTGCCCTGCTGCCCTGTGCGCCCCGCGCGCCCTGCAGCCCTGTGCGCCCCACGCGCCCTGCCGCCCTGCTGCCCTCTGCACGCGCCATGCACAGCCCCCCCCCCCCCCCCCCCCCTTTCTCCTGCATCCCCTGCTGCAGGTGCAGCAGTGGGGGGAGGGTATGGGGGTGGCGGGTGTGTGAACCGTCCCCTGCTCCTCCTCCTCCTCCGTCTCCCACTGCTGCAGCTGCCGCTGAGGGGGGTGGGTGTGTGGGAGAGCAGCTGCACCCGCAACGGATTTCTTCTGAAAGACCCCGCGCGTCTCATCGTCGGTCGTAGCGTAGCGCCATAGTCCAGTTTCCTCCAGCGACATAAGCTTATCCTGGAAACTTTCTGCCGTAGAATCCACCAAGTTAGGCTCTGTATCCATGACACCATTGACCTTCCTTTCCTGTCGCCATAACTTGTAGCTAAGAAACACATAATAAACGTCTTCCTGAGTTGATAGTGAAGCTTTCTGTAAAACATGTGGTTCTTGATGTGATATGGCCAGAATCCCTATTTGCTTGAGACCTGGACTTGAGTCAGCCGCGTAGACATTCCTTGTAATGCGTTGAGATGACAAGCGTGAAGCTCCTGCTTTTGAACAATGTAGGATGGCAGAAAATGCTGATAATCTGAAAATGTTCCGTCCATAAATTTCCTTGTACTTCACACCCTTTCTTGCACATGTACTTCTTCTCGGGAGCCATTCTATATGTCCTTCATTTTGCTTCTGCTGCAAACATGATGTATACCCCGTCTGGTCAGAAACCACCGCTGATCCAGACTTGGTAGTTCTCGATAGTGGTAAAACACATGTCCGCGGCTGACGAGACGTCTCTTTTAAAGTCTGTTGTCGAACAATCGAAGAGAATGTTGATAGACGAAATATATTTGGCGGTCCAGTTGCTGTGTACTTTCTCTTCTCATGGTGTGTCAAGCCTTTTTTGCTTTCCAGGTTCCAGCTGTCATAATCTTACGGAAAAGTGTGTGTCGACTATCGAGGGAAAAGATACAAAGGAGAAACCAAAGGGGTTGTACCCCACAGTGAGTACCCCACTAAGCCTAACCAAACTATAACAAATATACACATATGTTTGACACACCCCCATAGGCAAAGTGGGGGAGAATAGAGGGTCACAAGACCAGTCAGGAAGTGCAAAGCAAGCTCAGGGTGGATCACAACGTCACCACGCAGTCTGAGCACAAGCAAGAAGGCCACAAGGCCAGTTCATATGCAGAAATATATATGTAACAACAACAGTACAGTGATATCTACCTACAAGAACAAGCATGCAGGAATACATATAAATCATGGTACAAACAAGGCCTACAGCAAGTGAGGAAGAGTGGGCACAAGGCCTAACAAAGTGCAGAAACGCTGATGATCACCAGGCGGAAGCGCCTTGGTGAATATATCAGCAGTGTTGGCCCGAGTGGCCACGTAGGTAAGACGAAGCTGGCCACGCTGCTGCAGCTCTCGAGCAAGAAAGTAACGGAGAGCTATGTGCTTTGTTATGTGCTCCAGTCTGTGCTCCTGACACAAGGCAATGGCGGCCTTGTTGTCGACGTACAGAACTGGAGGAGAACGAGGCCTCTCTCCCAAGTCGGTCAGCAGGTAGGTGAGCCAGCGCAGCTCCTGTGCAGCCATGGCTGTGGCGTAGATCTCTGCCTCACAGCTGGAGCCTAGAACTGAAGACGAACGTGTAGAACGCCAGGAAACTGAACCAGAACCAAGGCTGAAGGTGTAACCATGTGACGACCGCTGCGTAGCCTGGTCGTCAACCCAAGAGGCGTCCGAGTGACCTGTGTGTTAGAAAGAAGAAGTGTTGGACTGGAAAGGAAAGGGAGTACAAGTACCTAACCCTAGAATTGTGTACCCCCTAAAGGCTAACCCACTGTAGCCTACACAAATACAACATATATAATGTTTGACACACCCCCATAGGCTAAGTGGGGGAGAGCAAGCGGTCACAAGACCAGTCAAAGCAAAGCAAAGCAAGACAAGCTCAGGGTGGATCTCAAGGATACCACACAAATTCCGAGCACAAGCAAATGGTCACAAGACCAGTTCACATGCAGTTTGATAATAGAACAAGAGGTACAGTGATCACAACCTAGCAAGTGTAAGCATGCAGGTATACATATAGAGATCATAGTACAAGCAGAGTCAAGAAGTGAGCAAGTGAGGGAGAGTAGGCACAAGGCCTAGAACAGTACAGAAACGCTGATGATCACAAGGCTGAAGCGCCTTGGTGAACACATCAGCAGTGTTGGCCCGAGTGGCCACGTACGAGAGACGAAGCTGACCTCTCTGCTGCAGCTCTCGCGCTAGGAAGTAGCGCAAAGCGATGTGCTTCGTTCTGTGCTCCAGTCTGTGCTCCTCACACAAGGCAATGGCTGCCTTGTTGTCGACGTACAGCACTGGAGGAGAACGAGGCCGCTCTCCGAGGTCGGTCAGCAGGTAGGTGAGCCAGCGTAGCTCCTGGGCCGCCATGGCTGTGGCGTAGATCTCAGCCTCACAACTGGAGCTGAGAACAGAAGAAGAGCGTGTAGAACGCCAGGAAACAGAGCCAGAGCCAAGGCTGAAGGTGTAACCCTGAGACGACCGCTGCGTAGCCTGGTCGTCAGCCCAAGAAGCGTCTGAGTGTCCAGTGAGGACAACGTCGCGCCGTCCTCCAAGCACAAGCCCCATGCCCGACGTACTGCACAGGTAACGCAACACCCTCTTAGCGGCATCCATGTGCTCCTTCCGGTGACGGCCAGGAGCGACATAGCGTGCTAGGATGCTAAGAGGGTATGCAAGGTCAGGTCGAGTGCAGGTCATCAGGTACATGAGGCAGCCCACAAGCTCTGGATACGGGCCACTCAGCTCTACGGACTCATCCGAAGGCAGAGCTGAGAGCGAGTGACCGGTAGGCAGAGGAGTGGGCTGAGGCGAGGAGTACGTGAAGCCGAAGCGCTGAAGGACCTTGTCACAGGATCGAATTTCCACTCGAGAATGTTGCACTAAAGGTGAGTACAAGGCGTATTTATACTCAGAAATACATAGAAACAACAGATAATCCGAACCTTCGGGAACGCGCTCTTTCTAGAATAGATAATCACAAGTGCGCATAAGCACGCAAGCCCATTGGCACTTCGGATTATGGCGAGATTACGCCTTGTACACCACTGTCGGTGCTGTCGGTGCCGTATAATGTAAATGTCGGTGCCGAAAATACCAAATAAGTGAAATAATCGGAAAGCTCTAGAAATAGAATAGTAGTCCGATTGAGGTGAAATAAAGTGCAAATGAAAGAGGAAAATATGGAGAATAAGATGGAGTAAAAATATGGAAATGAGAAATATGTCGAACGTCGGCGTACTCTCACAGACCTGCTGCACCATGTGTGACTGAGTCAAGGTGATAGTGCGCTGTGCTCTGTCCCGGGTGATCCGCAAGCCAAGATAGCTTGTCAGCTCACCCAGGTCTGTGCACGTGTGTCTCTTCTGCAGCTCCGACTTCACGTGGGCGAGTGCCTCAGTGTCAGCAGTGTCAGATTTATATGACATAGCTACTGTAGGCTATAGTGGGGTAGCACATATGGGGTACAGTTTTCCTAGGGTTTGCATTTGTACCCAACTTTCCCTTAGTCATTTCATTCCTTGTTTCTTCTCATGGTATCGAGCAGGTTCCCTCGTGGGAACTGTTCCTAGGGCCCACCGTTTTTTTTTTCCTGCCCGGAGCGCACTCAGCCCCTGCCCGAGTCGCGCTCCCCTCTCTCGCGCCGCCCTAGCGGCCCCTTCGCGCCGCCCTCGCGGCCCCTTCGAGCCGCCCTCGCGGCTCTGTCGCCCTACCCTAGCGACCCCGCGGCCCCACCCTCGCGGCGCCGGCCGCCTCCCTTCGCGGCCCCGATCCGCCGCCCTCGCGGCCCCCTACTCCGCCGCCCTTCGCGGCCCCTACTACGCCGCCCTCGCGGCCCCGATCCGCCGCCCTCGCGGCCCCGCTCCGCCGCCCTCGCGGCCCCGATCCGCCGCCCTTCGCGGCCCCGATCCGCCGCCCTCGCGGCCCCTACTCCGCCGCCCTCGCGGCCCCGATCCGCCGCCCTCGCGGCCCCGATCCGCCGCCCTCGCGGCCCCTACTCCGCCGCCCTCGCGGCCCCTACTCCGCCGCCCTAGCGGCCCCGGCCCCTGCTCCTACGGCCCCGGCGCCTGCTCCTACTGCCCCCCATTTTCTGTGGCCATTTGCGGTTCGGTGCGCGGCGCATCAGATCAACCTTCAGCCCAGGGTCTCCATGCCGGAGACCTCCCCAGCCTTGCTGTGGACGGGGAAGGTTGGCGATGCGTCTGCGTTCCGTGTCTGGGGATCTCGGGCGTTTGTCCGCGACTTGTCTGCGGACAAGCTGTCCCCTCGTGCTGCTCCTTGCGTCTTCCTGGGTTTCCCCCCTGACGCCCCAGGGTGGCAGTTCTACCACCCCACCTCTCGCCGTGTTCTGTCCTCCAAGGACGTCACGTTCGACGAGTCGGTCCCCTACTACCGCCTCTTCCCCTACCGCACTCCGTCCCTCCCCCCGCCACCGCTCTTCCTTGTACCAGGTCCCCCCCCGGTAGACCCCCTCCCCCCTCAGGGTCCTGCCCCTTCAGGTGTGTCCCAGGTAGACGCTGTTGAGCCTGTCGAGGTCGCTGGTGACTCTGGTGCTGCTGAGGGTGCTGAGCCTGGGGGTGCTGACTCTGGGGGTGCTGAGCGTGTGGGTGCTGACTCTGGGGGTGCTGAGCGTGTGGGTACTACGACTGGGGGTGCTGAGCCTGGGGGTGCTGCGTCTGGGGGTGCTGAGCCTGGGGGTGCTACGCCTGGAGGTGCTGAGCCTGGGGGTGCTGCGTCTGGGGGTGCTGAGCCTGGGGGTACTACGCCTGGAGGTGCTGTGCCTGGGGGTGCTACGCCTGGTGGTGCTGTGCCTGGCGGTTCTCCGGGTGCTCCTTCTCGCCGGGAGCCACTCTCTCCCCAGGAGCTGCATGAGTGGTTTGCCCGGCGCTGGAGGCGAGCTGCTGGAGCTGGAGGTGCTGCGGGTACTGGAGGTTCTGTTGCTGCTGAAAGAGCTGGTGCCACGGGTCCCAGAGGTGCTCGTACTGGGAGTACTGGAGCTGCTGGACCTGCCGGTACTTCTGGAGCTCGAGTTGCTGCGGGTGTTGGCGCGGAGGCTACTGCTGTCGGTCCTGGAGGCGGTCCTGCTGGGGGTACTACTGGTGCTGCTGGGGGTTCTGGAGCTGGAGCTGCTACTGGTGCTGGTGCTGCCACTGGGGGTGCTGGTGCTGTCCCTCCTGTGTCTGGAGTCACCGCGCGGCCTCGGC